CTTTTTCAACTTTCGCTACTTTCAACGTCTTTACGATGACGTATATCTTCTTTTTATATATAAAAATAATTAAGAGCGCGTCTTGGTGGGCTCGTAAGTTAACGATAGAAATTGTTAAATTATAAATTTTTTCTTCTTCATTTTTCTTTTCTTAACTTGTCTTTTCTTTTTTTATTTATTATTATTTTTTTTGTTTGTTTTTTGTTTTGTTTTGTTTTGTTTTTATAAATATTGATCTTTCGTTCGTTATCAACCTCAACATCAATAATATTTCACTAATCAAAAATCAATACACACGGAGCTCGAGGTTCGAACCGTACGGAGGAGTTATCAGTGCCGATGCGCAATCGCACCCATCAAGATTCCAAATCACAAATTCTCCCGGTTAATCGATTAAGCACGCGCTCGCTCACTCATTCGCTAGCTCATCAGAGACTTGACAGATGAAGCCATTTCACCACAATAAGGTGGGGACTTTATTTACCGATCGCATTATGAATAACTCAAGCTTGAGGAAAACTTTCTTTCCGGGCCTTGTGTGGTGAACTTTAAGCCAGCGACGGGAAAAACCGGTATGGCCAATTAGTGCTTAACGAGTGAACCAACCAATTCTGTTTCCGCTGTATAAAGTATTCGCAATTAGTGTTGAGAAACTCTAAGGGGTGTAAGGCTCTTAGCCAATCTAATCCAATATTTATTTCAAGGCTTAACGACGAATTATTAGCTTAAATTTTCATTGATTTTCTCGAACGTGAATTTTTATTAAAATGTCGATTATGCGACATTGTATATATTATATTTCTATCAACACTGACAATTATGTGTCGCGTTGTATCGTCGTATTATTCATTTAGAAAGAAAAAAACCGCGCCCTCTTTCATTTCGCATGTGCATTCGCAGTCGAATAAAGAACATTACTATTTTATAAATTTGCCATCAAGAAATTTCACATATAAAAGGGAATTGACGACAAGGATTTAAAATGACTCGGCGATGAAAGTTAGATTTGCCTCTGTCGTATAAGGACAATGGAACGATCTCGTTAATTTAAACTTAAATTTTGAAAAGTCTTAACATTTCTGTTACATTAAAGTGGATTAGCCACTGTTATTATTGAAAGATATTGGAACACTCGTAATACAATTTATACTTTTGCTTTTATTACAAACAAATAAATGCTCTCTCTCTCTCTCTCTCTCTCTCTCTCTCTCTCTCTCTTGCATACCGATTTTCTTTCCTCTCGTTGTATTCGCAGCTTTAGGTCAACTTTCACACGCTCCTTCAAGTCCGCGGCACACATACCGATACATTCTTAAAGACATGTCGAAATGGTATTCGTGTAGGTTCATATAATGCATATAGTTTAGCATATACATATAGGGGCAGCCGTATAAGAGGTCTTTTGATCTCGCATCACGTAGTCTGACGTGTCTCATCTTCAATTCGAAAGGATCCAATTAGAGATATTTTCACAGTACTCTCGTTCTCCTATGAGAAATATAACAATTAAAATATATAAATGGAAAGCTAATAATGCGAAGTATATGGATAAGCTGAAATTCTATTGCTTAATGCTGCTTCGCTAATATGGGACATAATATTGTTTATAAAAGCATAGAATGGGACAATTATTTTAAAATAATCTCGAATGCGTATTATTGGTGATACAATTTAATGAGATGATGAAATGAAAATCAACATCGTGCGCTAACTTGGATTTTCGACTTATTGAACAATTCTATTATCACATAATGATAAATATTATTTTTGCTAATCTCGTGTTTATTACAATAACATGCAAATAGAAATGAGTATTTAACTGAGTATTTTCGTGAATTTCAATGAACGCATTTGAACACAAATAGATTTGAAGGGTAGAGAATGCTATTGGTAACAAGGAGAGTATATAACCTCCAGGTCAGCGATTTAATGAAAATCTGGTAAATGTTTCCTATTATCGAAATAACACGTTAGAGTATGTGGAAGTTTTTCCATTCAATTTTTCGCAAATGCATTTACGAGCTTTTCAAAATCACCAAAAACTTCATGTAAACATAAAGTGACTCCTACTAAGAGTAACACAGATCGAATATTGATATTAAAAAAATATGTATAATATCTCACAAACAACA